CTTTCAAGGGAATTAGTGGAGCCCCACCTCCAACTGTTTTCAATTCTCTGGTTGAAGTTTTTTGTACCGAATACATTCAGTCTTTATGACCTTGACAAAAAATAAATTCTCAGTAAAATTGTATGTACCAATTTTTTTAAACTGTGATGTCCATTGAATTGTAAGAAGTTGGATGCAATGGGCAACAAAAAGTAACAAAGAGTAACCGGTCTTTGAAAACACAAAAGCAAGGCAGTTGTAGTGCCGCAAAAGCAATTTAATGATACATAAAACCGAGAGAAAAATCACTTTAATAACTACACAAGAGATGCAAAAACATCAAATTAAACCAGAAACCTGTTTGTTTCAAGATTGCCTCAAAATAATGTGAGCACAGCACAAAAATGACAAGTTACTGTAAGTGTGTCATAAATAATCATTCTGTGAATGGCTGACCAAAGATAGAAAGGACAGAAAATCGCTGGTGGCATTTCTAAAAGAGAATTCCTCATCATCACTTCTGTCCAACAGCCGCAGGCCCTGAGTTGTGATATGCAAATAGATCACCTGTATACATTCATGCTGTTACTTGAGTGTGTACTCAACTGTGTTCCTCTATTCCTATTGATATTTTTCTTTTCTTTTTATGCATTTATCATTCTTGCCCTTGTCATGAGGCTAAATTGCAAACACCGCCTTGCAATTGGTACATAATTGCATCCCTGCTCTGCCACTTTTCATCCTCAGCCCCGGTTGATCCTTTACCTGTGTCATTAGATGTGAAGAGCTCAGGGCACAATGGCCTGGCTTTGGAAAAGCACAGAGGAGTGTGTAATTACACTTGGCTTTGATTACCTCTCGTTTGGAGCGGCCTGTTCAATAGCCATTACATGGAGACACTCCTCTGGCCTCCGTTATTTAATGGCCCACTGGCCCAGTTTTCATTTGCACCCCAACTTGCTGTTGCTGTTAAGCTCACAAAAGACTGAGCTTCAACATGCAGCTGCTCAGGTCCTTTCTCTGACCGGTGCTGATCGATCGACAGGGTAGTAAACACTGCCAGACTACTACATACATCCAACATACAGCTTTTTTAAATAGAACAACTCCAGACTGCAGTGCTGCTATTGAACAGCTTATCAGCTATAAAGAGAAAGAATGCAAAGAAAATAAGTTTTACTTTAGTAATGTTCCACAGAGTTCAGCCACTATATAAAGGAGACACCATTAGCCAGAGGTGGGACTAAGCCTATGCTTTGCAAGTCACAAGCAAGCTTCAAGCCCTTGCACAAGTCCCAAGTCCTAAACTTTACTAGTCTGCTGGTCCTCTAGTCT